ACAGTCACACAAACATCCTGTCTCCATCACTTCCCACTCTGTGGAGTCAAAATATATACCATCATGTGAAAGACAACAATCCCATGACTGCAATCATGGAGCAGGAATTCTAACACTGCAGACACACCAAAGGACTCTTTTACACACGCCAAAGGGCTGTTCTAGATAAAACAAAGGGGCTGTTCTAAGCACAACAAAGCACTGTTCTAGAAACATTATAAGGCTGTTCTAAACATACCAGAGGGTTTCTCTAGCCATACCAGACAGCTAGTCTAGGCACACCAAAGGGATACTGTAGCCACACCAAAGGACTGTTCTAGATGCACCCAATGGCGGCTTTCGCCACACCAAAAGAAAGCTTTAGCCACAGCAAAAGAGCTACTCTAAATACGCCAAAGGACTTCAGGGCACCCCAGACCCAGAAGGATCTTTACATCTTATTTGTCAACACTCACACCCGATCCCACATTTCCTCTGATTCTGATCCACTCCGTCAGCATTCGTAATAAAGCTAGGTCACTGACTGAACTGATGTTAAGTGTCTGTGATTTAAAGGTATTTCAGACCTTTTGAACCATTAGAGGTTTCAGCTGGTAGCAATGTGTGGAGCCTTGCTAAGAGGTTTTACTGGTTTTATTTATTATTATTATTATTTTAAGAAAAAGCAACAACATTAGAGCCTTGTTGGATCAGACCAACAGCTTGCCTAGTTCAATGTTAGGAAAGGGCTGTGGCTAAGCTGTAGAACATCTCCCTTGCATGCAGAAAGTCTCAGGTCACAATCCCTGGCATCTCTAGGTCAGAAACCCTGGGCAGCCGCTGCCAGTCAGTGAAGGCAACACTGAACTAGATAAACCAATGATCTGACTTAGTATAAGGCAAATTCCTATATTGCCATTGCAGCCTTGCAGTGCCAGCCCAATGCCCAGGGTGGCTTAACACCCAATCCCTCTTCAGAGGGATCTTTGGGAATTGTAGCACTGGAAGAGGAATATGAGTTTCCTAGTACCTCTCAGCACGCTTAGCAAACTATAGTTCTCATTATTTGTGGGAAGCCATGACAGCTTCAAGAGGTATCATCGTGTTTTAAATGCATAGTGTGAATTAGCTAGACTTCAACTCTATACCGTTCTCCCACTCTCCCCTATTATGTGAAGGATCAGGTACTACACATGCTCCGGACGTGGGTGGCGCTGTGGTCTAAACCACTGAACCTCTTGGGCTTGCCGATCAGAAGGTTAGCAGTTCGAATCCCTGCAACAGAGTGAGCTCCCGTTGCTCTGTCCCAGGTCCTGCCAACCTAGCAGTTCAAAAGTGCAAGTAGATAAATAGGTACCAATGTGGCGGGAAGGTAAATGGCATTTCCATGCGCTCTAGCTTCTGTCACAGTGTTCCGTTGTGACAGAAGCAGTTTAGTCCTGATGGCCACATGACCCAGAAAGCTGTCTGTGGACAAACGCTGGCTCCCTTGGCCTGAAAGTGAGATGAGCGTTGCAACCCCAGAGTCGCCTTTGACTGGACTCAACCGTCCAGGGGTCCTTTACCTTTTGCACATGCTCCATCCATTTCACACATTCCTCACATCCTAGCACCAAACGATGTGCAGTCAGAGATCCTAGAATCATGGAGCCAGAAGAGTCCTCAGCAGTCAACTGCACTAACGCTTTGCTAATGCAGGAAATTTACAGCTATGTGCCAAATTTGGTGCCCAAGCAGATGGTAAACTATAGACACACTGGAGGAAAGAAGGTACGTTTATGGGGCAGGGTGGTGTCCATGGGGAAACATTCAGGGTACCTGAAAGCTTCCTCTCTGTTCCAAAAAGCAAACTGTATCTGAAGAAGTGTGCATGCAGACGAAAGCTTATACCAAGAACAAACATAGTTGGTCTCTAAGGTGCTACTGGACTATATATATATATTCCCAAAACACGAAAATTGCCTACGAAAATTCTGTAAGCTCCATAGAACACAGACATCATTTCAGCCAGTCAGTGAGTTAGTTTATTGTGTTTTAGCAGATAACAACAACAACAACAACAACAGAGATTTACATTTCTGCTCCTTAATCTTTAAAGATTAAATCCAGTGCTTTTTTTCCTAAAAAAACGCACGTTTAGGGGTACTCTCATTTTGAATCAAGAAAACCACCATTTTATAGCTCAAATTGGGAAAAATAAATACAGTATATGGACAAAAGTACCAAGATTCACAAAATGTTTAGAGGTATGCATACTCCTGCATCGTCCCCCCCAGAAAAAAAGCACTAGATAAATCATTTCCCATACCCGCTTGAAGTTTTATAGCACGGATTTGTGATTAGCAATAAATCTAGATATTCTGAAGGATATAGACTTCTTTACACCAGACAGCAAAAAACAAATCTTGACCTTCCCTTCTGCAATCTTAACAATCCAATCTGCTAGTGGGAGGACATTTAATCTGGGGAGGACATTTTTTGCTGGTATCACTCTGCCCAGGGCCTCTGGCTATTGCTAAACTCATCCCTGGTGTATCTTCCCCTACCCAGAATAGCGGCTTGCATGACCCACTAAAGAATATAATAACACAAATTCCTAACAGTAGCAACTAATTGCACATTTATTCAAAATCCAGCGAAAACTACTCAGTTTAATTAATTAAAAAATAATAAAATACGAACTTGATCCAGTGAGAGCAGCTTTTCAAAGTCTGATAGTCAGTTACACTTCCGGCATCCTCTGCTGCCCTCTTGCCTCTTGGTACCTCCCTCAGGTAACCCCACAGCCACGCTCTACTGCCCAGTTTGGGAACCCCTGGCCTATAGCCATTAACAATGCTGTGCAAAGCAATTAATGCTGCTATGGCTAATGCTTAAGAGGCTAGGCGTCTCTCAAGCCAAAATGCAAGAATTGCTGTCCATACTTGCCCGTTCTTAGAAAGACAGGGAGATGCAGTTAAGAATTTGGAAGATCTAGTGGTTGAGCAGGTCTGGGTAGTTCGGTGGAGTCTTCCTGGAACCCAGCACAAACGAAGAAGCCAGTTGTCAGCTTTCTTCCTTTGCTCTTGACAAAGGAACTTTTGCCGCCACACTCTCGCCTCCCGTGTTTCATCAGGAGAGTATGAGATGATAGGGGTTGACAGGAATCCAGGACTGGAGTAATAAATTGGGTCCACTTCCCGGTGGGGCTGGGTTGCGGTCGGGCCACCTAGCCTCCTCCTGTCTCAGCGTGGGGGCGGGACAGTGTCCTGTGTCCCATTGGGAGAGACCCTGGCCATGTCATGTCGCCAGGCAGTCAATCGGGTTGATTTAAGCCACGGCGCAACTCTGAGGCTTGCCCATTAACATTAACCTAAAATTCTGTGTCCTTGTGACTTTATTCTCCTGGGGGTGGCTTAGGGGCCTTGACACGCAAATCATGTCTACTTCCGGGTGGGGCTAGGTTGCGGACGGGCCACCTAGCCTCCTCCCGCCTCAGTGTGGGGGCGGGACAGTGCCCCAAGTCCTGCTGGGAGAGACCCTGGCTACGTCATGTCACCAGGCAGCCAATCGGGTTGCTTGGGGGCGTGGCCAGGGCCAATTTAAGCCACGGTGTGACTCTGAGGCTTCCCTTTCAGCCTCGTGCCGCAGATCTCCCGCCCTCCCACCCTTTTCTCAGGTAGCGTCTTTGGCCTTGCTATAGACTTCGGTTGGTTGCCATTGAGGGGCCTGGTAGTCCTTTTTCCACTTGGCAAATTGGCACCGTGAAGTAACCCCCAAGAAGTGACGTAACCCCCAAGAAATGAAGTAACCCCCAAGAAATGTCAAGATAACGGAAGACTTGGCAACTGAATCTCTCCCCTTTCATTTCCACTGGCAACAATTCAGAAGGCTATTGGCACAAGGCAATTGTATATTGCCATTGTCCATGCTTCGCCACACTTTCCCATGCCATTGATTGTATTATTCCCGAGCAATTGACTCTGCTTGCCCATGCTACCCACCCTGCTTCTCCACACTTCCCCATGCAGTTGACCATGCTTATCCCCACATGGTGACGTGCAAGCTTTGGTGAAAGCAAAGCTGCATCATGAAGTGACCAAGGAAACGTGTGGGCGAAATTTCCATTTTGCAGATTCTCCCCTTTCACAAGGACTCCCACCATCCCTGATCATTGGCTATACTGCCTGGGGTTGACTGGGACATGGGAAGCTGCCTGATACTAAAGCAGCACCTTTGCTCCATCTAACTCAATATTGTTTACTCTGACTAGCAGTGCCTCTCCAGGGTTTCAGGCAGGGTGCCCTTCTCAGCCCTTACCTGGGAGTGCCAAGGATTGAACCTGGAGCCGTTTGCATGCAAAGCAGGCTGTAACTCAGTTGCAGCCCTTCCCTCTAATGTTTGCTGGCATCAATGTGCTGCTTAGCCAATTGATATACCAATGATTGTGACCTTGTCCAAACAGTGGGGTTGTCATATTTCAAGAAGTGAAAAATTGAGCATTTCTTAAAACAAAAGGGAGAAAAAAGTTTTGCCCAAGTTGGAATCTGTTGGAGGGATTGAGGAAGGCCTTCATTGCACATTCTTAATTTATTTTATGTACAGTGGTGCCCCGCAAGACGAACACCTCGCAAGACGGAAAACCTGCTAGATGAAAGGGTTTTCCGTTTCGGAGGCGCTTCGCAAGACGAATTTCCCTATGGGCTTGCTTCGCAAGACGAAAACGTCTTGCGAGTCTCGCCATTTCCCCCCCGCTTCCCCCCCTTTTTCAAAGTCGCTAAGCCGTTAATAGCCTTTTAACAGCTTAGCCGCTAAGCCTTTAATAGCCGCTAAGCCGCTAAACCGCTAATAGCGCTAATCCGCTAAGCCGCTAATAAGGTTGCTTCGCAAGACGAAAAAACCGCTAGACGAAGAGAATTGCGGGACGGATTCTTTTCGTCTTGCGAGGCACCACTGTAGGCATTTTTATACTGCCCTTCATACAGTCATATTCCCCACCAAAAACAAATCTCCAGATTCAAATTCATGTTGAGGCTTTTTATTTGTATTTCGGAAGTTCAGAGATTTAGGAACAATCCATTTAATCCCAGAAGAATATACAGACGGATGAATAATAAACAGTAAGATTTGGGACATGTCATCAGCTTCCTGGCGATGCCATGATCACCCCTTCGCAATCATGGCACAAAAGCCATCCAATAAAATCCGCTTCCTTTTGTGTCAATTGCCTTAATTAAATTCACAGTAAAATAATACTCGGGCATCACTGGGAACAATTTCTTTTTGAAGTTTAATGTGTCGCCTCAGATGAGAAGCTTTGATTATTACATTCTCTGCCAACATCTCAATAAGGATGTATTTAATGAGGACAGAAACAGTCCTCACTACTTGCCTACTAATCATTTGGGGTAGGTGCATAAGGAAAAGTACATGCAGGAAATGGGATTCGCTCACGAATGTAAGGAGAACCCCACTGGATCAAACCTAGTTCAGCCCCCTACTTCCCACACTAGTCAATCAAATTCCTTAGGGAAGCCAACAATTGGGCATGAGTTCAACATCCCTCTTCCACACCTATTCTCCAGCAACTGGTATTCATTTCACCATTCCAGGTGGGATGGGACTTATAAGGCAGGGTCTTCCCTATTTTAAGAACTGGATGATCAACAAAATAATCATTAAGCAATAATAAATATTGAAGAAGCAGGGATACCCAGGAAAGGATGAGATGGCTTCTCCTATCCTTTGTACAGAATCCAGCCAAACTAACAGTTGAATTTTACTTCAGTACTGACAACAGGACAATGTCCTCCATCACAGAAGAGAGTACCATGCTACATTGGGTAAATTAGGGGAAATGGGAGGAACTTTTGCCATCTGAGGCGTCCACCAGGGCCAGCCCCAAGAAGGAAGAAACTAAGAGCTCATTGCATTGCCACCAAAAGCCAAATTTGACAGCCTAATTTCAAAACACTTCCTCTTGAAGCAATGTAAATGTAACTTGTTGGTGGCAATTATGCTATTTACTACTATTATCATATGGAGAACAACATGGGAAATATATTAACAGAAGGGTTTTTAAAGGAATTTAAATAAACAAAAAGGATGAGGTATATTGAAAGCTGCAGGTTGTGAGCTGGACATGTTGATCATGCTGACTTCCTGCGCTGTTGTTGTTGTTTCTCATGCTTGCTTACTTCTGCTGGTGAGGCCACTGGCAAGGTTGCTTCTTCTGCTGTTGATCGCAAGGGGGTGGGCATTTTGCCTCAGGTGGGCAACATGGGACAGTGGCTGGCTCCTTGCAGGGAGGCTGCTTCTCTGGGCATGGAGTTGGGACGACCACTACTGGGGTCTCCTTGCATGGAGGCTTCCCTTGACATGGTGTTGGCTGAGGGCATGGAGTTGGGACAACCACTACTGGTGGCTCCTTGCAGGGAGGCTTCTCTTGACAAGGTGTTGGCTGAGGGCAAGGAGTTGGGACAACCACTACTGGCTCCTTGCAGGGAGGCTTCTCTTCACATGGTGTTGGCTGAGGGCATGGAGTTGGACAAATCACTGCTGGTGGCTCCTTACATGGCTGCTTTTGCTGAGGACATGGTGTTGGCTGAGGGCAAGGAGTTGGGACAACCACTACTGGCTCCTTGCAGGGAGGCTTCTCTTCACATGGTGTTGGCTGAGGGCATGGAGTTGGACAAATCTCTACTGGTGGCTCCTTACATGGCTGCTTTTGCTGAGGACATGGTGTTGGCTGAGGGCAAGGAGTTGGGACAACCACTACTGGCTCCTTGCAGGGAGGCTTCTCTTCACATGGTGTTGGCTGAGGGCATGGAGTTGGACAAATCTCTACTGGTGGCTCCTTACATGGCTGCTTTTGCTGAGGACATGGTGTTGGCTGAGGGCAAGGAGTTGGGACAACCACTACTGGTGGCTCCTTGCATGGAGGCTTTTCTTGACATGGTGTTGGCTGTGGGCATGGAGTTGGACAAATCACTACTGGTGGCTCCTTGCAAGGAGGCTTTTCTTGACATGGTGTTGGCTGTGGGCATGGAGTTGGACAAATCACTACTGGTGGCTCCTTACATGGAGGCTTCTCTTGACATGGTGTTGGCCGAGGGCAAGGAGTTGGGACGACCACTACTGGTGTCTCCTTGCAAGGAGGCTTCTCCTGAGGACATGGTGTTGGCTGAGGGCATGGCAACGGTTCCGGTGCTGTTTTGCACAGTGCAGGTGGCAAGGTGGTTGCCTGTTTGCGCTGCTGCTGGTTGTTGAATGAAGCCATTTCTACTGATGTTCCAGAAAGCCTGCAGGTAAGAAAGAATGGATTTCACCTGTCATTCAGAAATACCATCACACAAACACATCTAAACCATTTGCCTTGCTTGTTGTATGTCTACAATTATTGACAGAGTCTCTCCAAAGATTTAAGACAAAGGTCCATCCATTGAGTGATTTCAAAGTCTATGCTGAGTACAACTAACATTGGATACAACCCATTGAATTTAATGGGTTTAAGTTAGTCATGCAAATAGCAACAACGAAACAATAAAACTCAGGTTGAATAAAATCACCTTATCAACTAATAAAAGCATAATCTAAAATGGCTGAGTGAATTTAAAAAAGTTTTAACCTGGTGCTGAAAAGAGCATAGTATTGGCAACAGGCATCCCTCCCCCAGGAGGATATTTCAGAATCTGGGAGCCAGCACAAAGAAGGTCCTCTCTTTTGTACATCAATGATGTATTTCAAGGGAATAATGAGTTTCATCCAACTACATGACAGACCCATTGAAATTAATTGACTTAAGCTAGTCATGTCCATCATTTTCAATGGCTCTACTCTCAGACCTAACACTGGATAAAACTAATTGAAATCAATGGACCTCAGTAATCATGTCCATTAATTTCAAGGGGTCCACAAGTAGTGTTCCTAAGGTTAGATACAACCCTGTGTTTCCCCCACCCCGCCCCCCTGGAATTTAACTCCTAAAGATCTGGAGGGGTGGGAAAAAGATCTGAGAAATGGCAGCTTTAGCCACCGGAACTAGGAAACATGTTAAGATCTTCCTGCTATTTCCCCCAATCATTCTTCCCCTGGAAGGAAAAGGGAGAACATGTTCCACCCAGTACATCGAATATGTAAATTGGGACTGTTCCTGATAACTAGCGACTGTGGGAGGATGAGCAATTAGCAAGACTTACACAAGGGACAAGGGGCATTGACAAATTCGGAACACTGACGTAATGGCAAGCTACTTTGAGGATGCAACGCCCCAGGTATTTTGACATCTCCAGTGCAGTCCAAAGCCAACACCTACTCAAACCTTCCACGTTGTTAAAATCAATAGAGGGCTCCATCTCATAGTTCTACCGCTCTCAGAAATTCAGGGTGGTGGTGACCCGGGAGAGGACCTTCTCTGTGGCAACTCCTAGGTTGGAGAATTCCTTCCCCAAAGAAGGGCATCTTCAGCTTTTGGTGAATGCTGAAGAAGCACCTCTTTGCCCTGACCTTTGACCACTCGGCTGTGTGTTTTCAGGGCCCACCGCCCTATTCCTGTGATTGGGGTCTGCTTTAGCTGCTTTTAATTTCTCATTTTTCAATGGTTGTAACCTGTCCTGGAACCCACTGGTGAAAAGCCAGTAGTAAACTCAATAATACATAGAATCATAGAATTGCAGAATTGGACGGGACCTTGAGGGTCATCTAGTCCAACCCCCTGCAATGCAGGAATCTTGAATAAAGCATCTGTGACAGATGGCCATCCAATCTCTGCCTAAAAACCTCCAAGGAAGGAGAGTCCACAACCTCCTGAGGGTTTCTGTTCCAGTTACTGTCAGAAAGTTCTTCCTGATATTTAGTCAGAATCTAGACAGCATTATACAGGTGCCTCTCAAATTAAGTGTGGCTGACTCACACATGACCGCATACATGTGAGGTGCCGAGAAATAATTTAATTCAAACCCAGAAATGGCAGGAGGAAGCCGGAGAGTCCTCATGGCTCACGAGGAGACCCTCCCTGGACCCCAAAGAGGACATCAGTGAGGGTGGAGGAAGCCCCGAAGAGACCTGAGATGCAGTAGGGCTTTGTTTAGGCTGCTCAGCCTCCCCGCCTAACAGCTGATGTGCGGGGTAGCACAGCAGCAGCAGCAGCATTTGTTCCCATGTCCTCCAGCCTCCAGACCACCCCAGAGCAGCTTCAACTCCAGGTATTTTGGTCTGGTTTGGGGAGAGAGCAGGAGAGGAGAAGAAAGCGGGCATTTGGAGACTTTTTAGAGGATGCTCTCCACTTTATGCAATTTCAGTTATGAGCCCTTCCCCATCTTGTGCGCCTCATCCAAGTTCCTATTCACCCTGTCATTCTATTCCTAGGATAATTTGAATGGCACCAGCCAGCTGTATTCAGATCATCTGCAGGGGGCTAGGGAAGAACTTTCAGAGCTTGCAGGGAGGATCTCAAGAAGAAACACAATATTTCTAATTAATTGAGAAGCAATAAAGGTTATTGTCTCCTACTGCTATAAGAACGGCTGAAATGTTGGCTTGCATCTCCAATGCTAGAGTAGATCCATTGAAACCAATGGACCAAAGTCCATTGCTTTCAGTGGGTCTACACATAGAACCAGCATTGGATACAACCCATTAACACTAACATTACTAGTAGTAGCAGTACAACTATGAGTAGTAGAGTACTATGAGGCTGAGGAGAAACACCACCCCTACATTTTATGGTTAGCAGAAAAAAGGCTTTTGGAAATAGCCTTGCTGGTATTACGCTACTATTACAGTCTTATCTAAAAACAGATTTGCCCAAAGCATGAAAGAGACATCTACTACTGCTTTGACTAGTTACAACCACCACCATGCAGATCCTTTGTGTCAGCTGAAAGAGACTTACCCAATTGGTCACTGAGATGCTGCTGGAAGGAATTAAGTGGCTCCAGGAACAGCAAGTGCTTTTTATCCTGTACTGAAGCCCAGCCTCTGGATACAGTGTGTAAATCTGGATGACTCCATCCTTACACAATGGAGTAGGCTCATCATGCATTTCTACATTTTCCCCATGCCACTCCTTTCTTAGACTTTGCTTCTGTGATGGCTGCGGGCAATTTCATGCCAATCTCCTCCTTGACTAAGATACGTGGCCAATGTTCTAAAAATAGACACCCCAATCCCCAAGAGGTCACAATCTTCACGGATGTGTCAGCTGAGTCTGGGTGGTGTCCAACTAAGTCCTAATCAGACCCATTGAAATCAATGGACCTAAATTAGACCCCCCCATCTGTGTGATACATTTAGAACAATGTCATAGCACTTTAAACAGTTGTGGCTTCCCCCAAAGAATCCTGGGAGGTGTGGTTTGTTAAGGGGGCTGAGGGTTGTTAACTCTCCATTAGAGAGCTACAGTTCCCAGAGTTCCCCAGTGTCAAGGAATGGTCTGAAGACAAGGACTGGGAGATGCGTTCTATGGCAGACCAGCTTCCCTCTGTTGGAGAATTGGAGGGGGAAGAGTCACACCCCTTGTTCACAATGTGTTCAGAAGCAGAGAGAATAATTGGGACAGAATAATTGGGTGCACTCTTCCCACCTTGGATCAAATATATCAGTCATTTAATTTAATGTAGTTGGTCTTTATGTAACTTCATGTATTTGGCTTGTCCTTAATGAAACACTGCTGGGCTCCATCGCAGAGTTGGGGGCACTGCTCAATTTTATTTGGGAGAAATTTGGATGGTGGGGGCTGTTAAATAAACCCACTTATTAATTTTGGTCAAATCGCAAAACAGCAGATAATGGGACAATCACAAAAGAGGAAGTGGCTGGTCTCTCTCCCTCCCACCTAGACTTTGAGCATTGGGTTGGGAATGAGTAGATCATCCTGAGGTTTAGTTGGAATCTACTTTCTTGTAACTTGAAACCATTGGAATGAGTCCTACCCTCCAGAGTAGGAGAAAAGCTTGCTCCTTCTTCCATCTGACAGACCTGGGGTGGAGCTACCTGCCCCGGCAACCAGAGCGACCCAGAGGTGGGGCTAGCCACCCGTACAGCGAGCAGGGTGGGGGGGCATGGAGAGGTCACCCGCCCTCATGGCTGAGACCCTCCCTGCCCGCAGACTGTCTCGCCAGAGTGGTGCATGCTCTAGTTATCTCTCACTTGGACTACTGCCATGCGCTCTACATGGGGCTACCTTTGAAGGTCACCCGGAAACTACCAACTAATACAGAATGTGGCAGTTAGACTGGTGACTGGGAGCGGCTGCCAAGACCACATAACACTGGTCTTGAAAGACCTACACTGGCTCCCAGTGCATTTCCGAGCACAATTCAAAGTGTTGGTGCTGAGCTTGAAAGCCCTAAACGGTCTTGGTCCAGTATATCTGAAGGAGCATCTTCACCCCAATCATTCTGCCTGGACACTGAGGTCCAGCTCCGGGGGCCTTCTGGTGGTTCCCTCATTGCGAGAAGCCAAGTTACAGGGAACCTGGCAGAGGGCCTTTGCGGTGGTGGCACCTGCCCTGTGGAATGCCCTCCCACCAGATGTCAAAGAGAAAAACAACTACCAGACTTTTAGAAGACATCTGAAGGCAGCCCTGTTTAGGGAAGCTTTTAATGTTTAATAGATTATTGCATTTTAATATTCTGTTGGAAACCGCCCAGAGTGGCTGGGGAAACCAGGGTATAAATAAATTATTATTATTATTATTATTATTATTATTATTATTATTATCATCATCATCATCATCATCATCATCATCATCATCATTTGGGCCCAGTTCTCCAATCTGTTACAGTTATCTTGAATCCTAATTCTGTCTTCTGCAGCACTGGCTACCCCTCCCAGTTTGGTGTCTTCTGCAAATTGATGAACATCCCCTCAATTCCTTCATCCTAGTCATTTATAAAGACATTGAACAACAGGCCCAGGACAGAACCCTGTGGCACCTCACTTGTCATTTTTCCCAGGGTTATGAGGAAAAATGAGTACACTTTGGGTTTGGTTAGTCAAATGCCATCAGAAGTCAGTTGTCTTGCCCAGTTAACCTGAACCACCTGCTCATTATTTTTGTAGGCAAACCCTGTGATAGGTCTCAAAGCCTATCAATGTAATTTTCTAGTTACCGTGGTACCTCTAGTTACGAACACAGATCGTTCCGGAGGTCCGTTCTTAACCTGAAACTGTTCTTAACTAGAGGTGTGCTTTCGCTAATGGGGCCTCTTGCTGCTGCTGCGCCACCGGCACATGATTTCCGTTCTCATCCTGGGGCAAAGTTCTCAACTCGAGGTAACTCTTCCAGGTTAGTG